CCTTTTTGTAATGTGGTGCCCAAAACTGCACACAATATTCAAGGTGAGGCTGCACCAACACAGAGTAGAGCGGGACAATCACCTCCCTTGAACAGCTGGCAGTGCCTTGCCTGATGCACCCCAGGACACTGTTGGCCCTCCTGGCTTCAGGGTACACTGTTGGCTAATATTCAACTTGGCATCGGTGAGGAGCCCCCAGGTCCCTTTCCACAACACTACTCTCCAGCATCTCATTTCCTGGTCTGTAGGTACATCCAGGGTTGCTCTGTCCCAGGCACTTGCCCTTGCTAAACTTCATATGGTTGGTGGTTGCCCAACTCTCTAATTTATCTAGGTTTCTCTGCAAGGCCTCTCTGCCTTCAAGGGAGTCAACAACTCCTCCAAATTTTGTGTAATCTGCAAATTTGCTTAAAAGCCCTTCAAGTCCTGCATCCAAGTCATTTACTGAAGAGCACTGGGCCTAAGATGGAACCCTGTGGAACTCCAGTAGTGACTGGTCACCAGCCTGATGTAATCCCATTCATCATAACTCTTCGTGCCTGACCTGTGAGGCAGTTGCAGAAGACAAAGACAGGGACTGGAAGAATGAAGAACTGCTCACTGTTGTGTAGAAGATTGGGTTCAAGAACATCTTAGGAGCCTGGAGATTCACAAGTTCATGGGACCTGATGAGATGCATCTGTAGGCCCTAAGGTAACTGGCAGATGAAATTGTTAAGCTGCTATCCAGCATATTTGAGAAGTCCTGTCAGTCTGGTCAGTTCCCATAGACTGGAAAAGGAGAAATATAACCCATTTTCAAAAAGGGAAGACCCAGGGAAGTACAGGTCACTCAGTCTCACCTCGGTGCCTGACAAGATCATGGAGCAGATCCTCCTGGAAACTATGCTAAGGCACATGAAAAATAAGGAGGTGATTGGTGACAGACAACATGGCTTCACTAATGGCAAAATGTGCCTTCAAATCTGGTGGCCTTCTATGATGAGGTTACAGCATTGGTAGATAAGGGAAGAGCAAATGACATCACCTACCTGAACTTGTGCAAAACATTTGACACTATTCCATGTGACATCCTTGTGTCTGAACTGGAGACCACTCGGTGGATAAGGAATTGGCTGGATGGTTGCACTGAATTGTGGTCAACAGGCTGAGGTTGTTCAGCCTGGAGAAGAGAAGGCTCTGGGGAGACTCTATAGCACCTTACAGTACCTAAAGAAGGCCTACCAGAAAGCTGGAGATGGAATTTTGACAAGGGCAGGTAGTGATAGGGCAAGGGGGAATGGCTTCAAACTAAATGAGGATAAGTTTAGATTACATATATGCAAAAAATTCCTCACTATGAAGGTGGTAAGACACTGGAACAGGTTGCCCAGAGAAGCTGTGAATCTCTGGATGAAGCATATCCAGGTTGGATGAGGCCTTGAGCAACCCAGTCTAGTGGAAGTTGTCCCTGCCCATGGCAGTGGGGTTGGAACTACGTGATTTTTACTGTCCCTTCCATGATTCTATGATCCATGGTCCACAAAGCAATTCCATTAATTCTGAAGCTATAAGCAATACAACTATACCTGTGAAGCATCACACTCACACTAAAAGACCTCTCTCTGCCCTCAACAAAATGAGAATATTTTGTCAGACATTCAGTAGTCATGATGTATATCTCATTTTACTATTGGAGAGATGTGTGAATGGAATGGTCCTGTACCGAAGGCAGAAAAAAAAGATTTCATTTGCATCTAAGTGTTTAATCTGAACTTGACAGGCTCTTCCACACTGAAAAGAAACACCATGGATGAAGGAAATTACTTTGTCTTGGTTAACAGAAACTTCAGTCCTCAAACGGTAACTTAAAAAAGGGAAGCATTTATCAATAACCTAGGGCCATTCATTATTACTTTTTTTTAAAGAAAAACTATTTTGCGATGTTTTCTCACTTTAACTCATGTCTGATTAGGAATCTTTTCACAGAAGTTCTGGTTCTTGCCTCACATAAGCAAAGATCTTCACTTCTATTTCACAAATGAAAGAAGCAGAGAAGCTTCTTCACAAGAATAACTGGCAGGATTAAAGAACTTATCTTTACTGAAAACCAACAGCAAAAAAACCTTTAATCACTTTAATAGTTAACAAAAGACATACACTCACAAAAATGTGTATCAAGGCAAGTTAGGTATTTTATATACTTGCAGTCTTTCTCCTGCCTCCACAGTTGCACCAGGGCTACCCTTGGATCAGGAACGGAGGTACTGGTGTGTACAAAGGAAGCAGCTGTGATGCTTATCATGAACCATAAGTTTGGAAGAATGTTTACATCACACAGTTCAGATGCAGCTACAGTGATCAACACCATGTATGACTTTACCATACATGACAAGCTACCAAACTCTGGCAGTGACTCCTGAAAACTTAGTGCTGCTACCCCTCTACTTCCCAGCACTTTTATTATCATACAGAGATTAAATTCTCTTTAATTTTCTGATAAGCCTAGTAAAAGACTGAAGACTAGCAGTTTCCTGACTTCTGTTTTTTAGAAAATATCTTTGACCATGTAAAACAGAGACTCATATGGAAACAATTTTTTCTCATAGTTCTCTGCTTGTATTACACAGTGTCTCTAAGCTTTTTTAACATAACCTAAATAAATTTATGCATTAAGATATGATTGCCTCACTTTTTTTCTGTGAATGACAAGGACATTTTGGATTATTCTGGAAGAATGTTTCATACATGCTTACTCCCACCTTATATTCTTCCCAAGGCATCAGTTTTTGGCCACTGCCAGAGACAGAGTAGACACTTGGTTTATGCAGTACAGCTGCTCTTTTGTTCATTTCTAAACTGAACTAGAAGACTAATTCTGCATAAATTTCTCTTTGATTTTGGTTGTCTTTGAGAGCAAATGTTTAGGTTTCATCACATTTTTAGCTATGTAAGTATTTTTTTTCTGAAGAGAGGAATTTAACACATTCTCTGATATTGTGTAGATAGAGTGCTGAGTCCACCATGAAATCAGCAGTGTCAGAGCCACTGTTGAGGCAACAGTAACAACTTTCCCCTCAGTAGTATCAAAATAGCACTGTTTTGTGCTGCTGCAGATTTCAACATAGCTGAGAAATAAAAAATAATACTGTTTACATCAGCATAAAATCCAGTTTTCAGTATGCAGCCAGCTGCACATGAAATGAGGAGAAACATAAGCAAAAGTGAGCATTTACTTGAATCTGTGGTCTTTAGCAACCACACAAACACGTGCAGTTTGAAGTAGTGTTGACAAGCATCTTTCTCTCAGGGCAACTTGCCTTTATCCAGACCCTTTCTAGCAACAGGCAGTGTGTCTAAAATCAGACCTCTTGACACAAAGCTTTTATGCTTACTGGTTTTACAGAGTGAATACATCTCCACCAACAGAGTTTAATCAACGATTTCGTAAGCTGATTATTGCCAAAGAATCCAGTATTGCTTCTGGGTGACTGTACACACACTGAGAAAGACATCATTTCACTTTCAGCTGGGGTGAATGCATGACGTTAGTGCTTATTTATACAGAAAAACAAACAGGTAACTGCAATTGCAAACAGAATTAAATGTAATCCTTTTAAAATACACTGAACTTCAACCATAAGTCTTTTTTTTAATGCTGTAAGCATGATTTCAATGTAATCTGAATTAACTTATTTGGTTTTGCCTTTTTGTTGTAGGTCATGGTTTACGTGCCTGGCAAATTTTATGTGATTTGACATTTTGACTGCAGATTTTAAACACAACTTTACCAAAGACTACGACATTTAGCAGAAATATTTCATATACTTGCTACTCTGACTTTTTCTTGTCCTAAATTGTACTAGCTTGTACTAAATTTATTAACAATCTGTCTAATACTCCCTAATGCCTCTATTGCACAACTTGTTCTCACAGCATGGTTGTGATCTTCACACAGTCATATTCCATGCCTAATGCTATGTTGCCATCTGTTGACCAACTGAGCAGCTGTAGCACTAAGATAAGACACCCAAGAACATAAATAAAATCTCCAAAAGATTTTGTAAGTCTAAATGTCAGTTTTGTATTTACTTCTTTATCTAGAAAAGTTGTTTCAAAATCTTCATATTTATCCTTAACATTTATTAATTTACATTAAAAAAAAGTATTAGGCCTTCAAAGTTCTTCAAAGACAACTTAAGGAAATTGTCTAAAGGATAAAATAAATTGGAAATACAGTGGAAACTAAATTGTAAGAGAAACATACTGCACAGAGTGATAATGCCTATCTTGCTATAATGTTACATTTTTCAGTTTCAAAAAGTGTCCAAAGGGATCAACATAATATTGCTGCAGAAAATATATAGAAAATAAAAAGAGGTCCAAGTATTTACTATGTGATTCATTATTCATGGTGTTTTGGATTCCTTTGAATTGGAACTTAAGTACAGAGGAAAATGCAACATGCTTGCACAGGATAGTATTTCAGTCAGATTTAAAAGGGTGCATGAATTACTTTTACTGGAATGTACAGCACAGGCAAAAAGTTCTTCATGCCTGCTTCACTGGGCATCTGAAAGGTATATTTACCTCAACATGACAGCCTGTATAAAATAGAGTATGTATTACATTCTTTAGCCTCAAAAGAGATTTGTAGGATTAACTTCAAAAATAATGGAAAGCCTTAAGAAAGTTCTGATGATGAGCACCCTGTATAAAGAAGGATTGCTTTTATAGAAAGTCATTAGAATAAAGTAATTTTAAACCAGAATCTTTCAAAGAATTTATGCATGGAAGTCTATTTCCAAAAAAATCCATGAAAAAACCCAACTCTGATGCATATTTTTTAAAAAAATACATAAAAGCAGCATGGATTTGCTCAATTAATAATAAAAATGAGAATGCTTTATATTCATACAGCAATATATGAAGTAAATCAACTCAGTGGCTTAAACATCGTGGTGCTGACTTCAAGAATTTACATGGATATAACAATTGCATAGGATCTATTTAGTGACTCACCTTTGAATCATCTAGTTCCAGCTTTTTCAGAGACCTTCTGACATAATCTATGAAGGAGGATGATTTGGAGAAAGTTTTTCCAACATGTCGATCACTGCAAATACAGCACTGAGGTGTAGGCTGTTATACATCCAACAGCAGAAATTCACATCTCTTCAAGTTAATATTTAATTCAGGAGAAATACATCAATTGGGTGGCTACACCTGCCAAGTTAGCAACAATTTTCCTGTTTCCTCCTTCCACTTGAAACTAAACAATCTAGCTAATACGTGTAATTTCTAGACACAGCAACTGTATAATTGTATTATGGTTATACTAAGATTATTATTTTACTTAGCGAGTTAGTCAAAGGTTGT